ATTCAGTCCAGAACCAGGCTAACAAGAAATTACTGTTGTAAGTTGTCATTTCTTTTTGGGGGTTGGGCTAGTGCTTTGACCCTTAAGCCACCAGGGAGCCAGAAATCGGCATATTTCTTCATCTGTCGCACGAAACAGTACACAACCGGCTGTTTAGTCCGGTGATCACGCTAAAAGGAATCATGTGTTGTATCCCCATTTAGGTTTCAGTGCTCGACGCCCCACTGTCCTGTCTTCTTCATTTTCCCTGTTTCATCAGAGCTTCCTTCACTTCCCCGTGTGTGGCAACTGCAACAATCACATACCGATCAGTCTGAACGGCTGTCTATTAGTCTTTACACGTCTGATGAAATCCTTAGTCTAAATCCTTAGAGCAACGCGCAGCAACACGTTTTTGGTCTGCAAGTTACAGCAAATGATTACTGACAGGGTGCTGTGTATTGTCACCTGCAGCCTTGTGTGTGATCTCTGTTACCTTTGAAGGCACTCCTCCCCAGCTGTTCTCTTTCAGATACTAGAAGTAGCTTCTTAACATTTTGGTTTGGTTCTCCCAGAGGGGGATTATCTACAATAGATTACTGCATTCATTATTTTGTCCAGCCATGCAGTAATGTCCATATTTGTACTTAACTTTTGTCTTCACAAACACATCATATTCCAGAAAATTCCAAGAGAGCTGGGATTGGCTGGAATGTGTGTGCTGCTCGCTCGGTATGTGAGAGAGAGCCTTCACTCTCTGAGGAGGGTTTAGAAGTTGTTTATTAGGACCTCTGACTGATTGCAAATAGGCCTCATGCAACAAGTACTTTCTTTAATTCTGCTCCTGACCGTATGGCAGGCAGAGTGCTTGTGCTGTACACCAGCCTTCCTCATCACCCACGGATCTATTTATGGTCCAGCTGATTCGTTTAAAATGTCGCCCATGTTATAACCACAGTGCCCGTCCTGAGGATCGACTGACTCGCATTAGCCTGCAGCAGATTAGCTAAGATATTAGTAAAGTGGGTTCTTTTTTCCGATTTAAGACCTCTGCAGCATACAGTTGTGTGTGTTGGGGAAATGAAATGTTAATTAAAGAGGATACTAAATGTAGAGCTGCACGGTATTCAAAAAATCATATTAGGATTATTTTGACAGATGTTACGATTGTGATATGACTCAGGATTCATTTTGTCTCACGTTTTACCTTTATTAAAAACAATGTAGGCTTCAGGATCTTTTGGATATTGACATGTTTTGCTTTCATAATATTTTGACTCATTGTGCAGCGCTGTGTAAATGCAAAATGTTTCGAACATGGAGCCCATGTCTCCGTATTTGTCTGTACAGCAGACGAATGGCTGTTCTCATGTGCGTCTGTGCCTGCAGTCTCTAATGTGTGTCACTGATTTTTGTTTCCTTCCTGGTCAGTCTGTGTGCCATTCTTCTAATTCATTACAGCCCGTGTGTGGTCGCTTGAGTGTGGGCTGTATTTCAGCAGAGGACCAGAGAGCGAGGAGCGGTGGGCATGAATCATTGATTAGTGTGGCCAGAAACAGCAGAGATCAGACATGGGAAAGTAATTAGGGTTGAATTGTTCCCTGCTCTCTCTCCTCAACTCCACATCTCCCTCCTCTGTTCATCTCCTGCCCTGTGTTTATTACAAGGAGTGTCTGTATGTACAGGATACAGTGCGAGTCTTTATGTGCCCTTATCTACCAGTCAGTTACCTGTTTTTTAGATTAGAGTACCTAAAAGGCAACATCTCTGCAGGCAGATATAGAGTGGCTGCTGCAGATAGTGGGTGCAGATTATTGTATGCTGTGGGTGCTGGTTTGAGCAGACTGCCTTTTTGCACTTAGTCGTATTTGCATGTGTTTAATAGTGGTCGGTTTTGGACTGTCAGCTCGAATAAACAAGCAATTTAAAGTTGTCACCTTGGCACAAACAAGAAATCATCATCAACAGATTATTTCAGCTTCAGTAGCCCCAATTTAATTGTTGCTGACTTACTTACAATTTATTACATACCTGCATTAATTGTATTTTGACCGCTCGGGGCAGCCAAACAAGCTGTAAAAATACATAAAAAGATTGTTCGTTAAAGTTAAGCAAACAATTGTCTTCACCAGCTCTCTCTCTCTCTCTCTCTCCTCTTTCTCTCTATGACTATATATACGATTAGTTATAACTAATAATATATATAGGTTATAGTATATAGCTATATATTTATATTTTTCCTGATACCGTATGAACGTTACTATAG